AGCCCTTTGAGGACCGGGTAAGGGCGGTCAGTGGTGCAGCGATGGAGATGAAACCATGGGAAACGGCCCCGAACCCAACAAATAGAAAATCTTCAATGTCCCTTGATCCGTGTGGGGCGACTCTCATGGATCATTGTCCCCTTTAACGTGGACGCTCTATCCGTTAAACGGCCAAAGTCAGACGGCAAGAGGAGAGCGTGAAGTGTCACAGGTCGCCTAGGCCTCGCTGCGAGAGGTGCACCGATCCGCACCCTTGAGAGGTCCGTCTTACTTTTGGCCAGGGATACTTCCCTTTCTTCGACCTCCGATCTTAGCGTGGAATCCTCTTTCAAGGATGATTAGCTGAAGCAAACCGCTGTCAAGCAATGAGCTATGTAAAAATGAACATGCAACTGCAACAGCCTTTCGAGAATTGCACATCACACCAATTGCTAAGTAGCTACCGTATGCATAATCATTTGTAATCATTTGCAATTCATACAAAATTGAAAACAATACAAAACGGGTAGGTCAACGCGTGACTGCGCGCCCAGTGTTTAAGCTCTGGCACCAAGGTCAAACTTCCGTTGAGGAATCCTTGACAGGTCGGTAGGGGGAGGGGTTGTATTTGGCCCGTTGGAAAGAAGGGATCGGGCTGGATAATGCAGTAGGATCATCACTGTTGAAGAATTCCATAAAACACAAACATCGAAGAGTGATCGATGCTGTGCAAACTTGGTCATAGGATTTCCAAAAACAATGTTATTCCACTTAAAAAAAAATTATGGTGGTTAAACGGGGTTCGCGTAGCAGTTCTCAACTACCTAAGTGATTTATCGCGGCAAGGTTGAAGAATCTGAAATTCGCAAGTTTTTCGACGAACATTCTATCTTTCAAATGAGTCCACCGATATGAACGGATGTTAAGCGCATGGCGCACCCCAGAGTGGCAGTCAGTTATGCGCGTTTAGGCTACCGCTCTCTGCAGGAAAATTCTCGATTCACGAAAAATCAAGAGAAATCTGGAAGGGGCCGTGAAAAATGATTGCGACGAATCCACGAATTCGAGAAGTAATACAGTTTTCAGCGTCAAATTTCTAAACATGTAATCGTAAAGTTGGAGAAGCTAAGCAATTATACACTTGTTGAGAAGGAAAAATCTTGCTGGTTCCGAATCTGTTTTCATTATTGAAGAAAATCGCCCTGAAAGGACCTGTAGTGGTTGAAAGAAAGTTAATGCAGCGAAGACGTACTTCTCAGACGTCAAGCAAATTTTTGGCACTATTGCATTATTACAACCCCAGTGGGGGCCGAGATGGGTCAAAAAATAATTTTCGCTGAAACTTCTGCTATGGGAGGTTATCGAGGGTCCTGATCACGAATATGACATCCATTTTTGGCGCTGAAATAAAATTGGCGCCTTTTGGCGCCACAACTGATTATCACCAAATTCGCTGTAAACTTCTGTGTAGTGCTTATTTGGGGCCCTGATCACGAATATGACACTCATTTTTCACATTCGTGCTGTTTAACGCATACTTTACCTTTTCTAAGCTTTCTCACCTACAGCGCCTACGACTAAGTAAGCTTAGGGGAGGGGAGTGAAACTCCGGAGTGGGTAAACCACGCACCGTGTGGCAAAAGTTGGAGTGTGTAGACCACAGGGGATGGCCTACTCACTTTGGAGCCCTCCACTATTCAAAGGCTTAGTCCTGATTGCGATCTAATTAGTGCGAGGGCGCAGACGAGCAGGAAATAGGCGCCGAATAGCGCTAACAACAAAAACGAATGTCATATTCGTAATCAGGACCCCAAATAACCCCTATACAGAAGTTTACAGCGAATTTAGTGGGAATCAGTCGTGGCGCCACCTGGCGCCAAATGGCGCCAAATTGGCGCCAGCGCCAAAAATGAATATCATTCGTGATGAGGACCCTCCTCGATAACCCCCAAAGCCGAAGCGGAAATTATTTTTTGACCCGTTTAACCCCCACTGGGGTTGTAATAGTGCAATAGTCGCCCAAATGCGGGTGCTAACTTAGTTGGGGGGGGGGGGGGGGCACGCGGCGGCGCGGCAGTCTGCTCACCTGGGCTCTCTCGAGCGAGACAGTGTAAACTCGAACATTCCAGCTTTTCACGCATGTCAAGTGACTGCCCCCACCCCCCACCCCCCTAGACTGGCTACACTCCCCCTGGCCCACGGATTTCCGAACATGCCAGGCGAGCAGACTGCCGCGCCGCCGCGTGCCCCCCCCCCAACTAAGTTTAGCACCCCCAAATCTTCTAGTTTATGATTCGTATAATTTTAGATATGGACGAGTTTGAAGGGAGTTATGGTTTTGAAAAAGGTAAAGACTCGCACTCATCACGAATTTTCCACGTTAATTTTGCAAAAATCCTCGACGTAACCATTTTTTAAAAACCGAAACGAAACAAGTCATTTAAAAAGCTGTTCAATAGAGCAGTTCTTCTAGTTTCGTTTGCCATATTGACCTTTAAAATATAACGACTATGAAGGGAGTTATGGCTTTGGAAAGTGCAAAAATTCGCACTCATCACGATCTTTCCTCGTTAATCAATCTAAATTGCGTATTTCTCATCAAATTCGAGACTTTAGCACTGACTAGAATGAGCTCGTCGAAAAACTTCCAAACCTGCTTACAGATCGAAAATTCGGCAGTTTTAAAGAAAGTTATATCATTTGAATATGTTGGCGCTATTCCTACTTCCTGCTCGTCTGCGCCCTCGCACTAATTAGATCGCAATCAGGACTAAGCCTTTGAATAGTGGAGGGCTCCAAAGTGAGTAGGCCATTCCCCTGTGGTCTGAACACACTCCAACTTTTGCCACACGGTGCGTGGTTTACCCACTCCGGAGTTTCACTCCCCTCCCCTAAGCTTAGTCTTAGGCGCTATAGGTGAGAAAGCTTAGAAAAGCAGAAAATATGCGTTAAACAGCACGAATGTCAAAAACGAGTGTCATATTCGTGATCAGGGCCCCAAATAACCCCTATACAGAAGTTTACAGCGAATTTGGTGATAATCAGTTGTGGCGCCAGCTGGCGCCAAATGGCGCCAATTTGGCGCCAGCGCCAAAAATGGATGTCATATTCGTGATCAGGACCCTCGATAACCCCCATAGCAGAAGTTTCAGCGAAAATTATTTTTTGACCCATCTCGGCCCCCACTGGGGTTGTAATAGTGCAATAGTGCCAAGATTTGCTTTATTCAACATATACTAGAACTGCTCAATACGCCCAGTCTTTGCGGCCTACTGCGAGAATTTTCATCCCAGTACCGCCGAAAAGTACTTCTTTGCTGCATTAACTTTCTTTCAACGACTACAGGTCCTTTCAGGGGCGATTTTCTTCAATAATGAAAACAGATTCGGAACCAGCAAGATTTTTCCTTCTCAACAAGTGTATAATTGCTTAGCTTCTCCAACTTTACGATTACATGTTTAGAAATTTGACGCTGAAAACTGTATTTCTTCTCGAATTCGTGGATTCGTCGCTGTCATTTTTCACGGCCCCTTTCAGAATCCTCTTGATTTTTCCTGAATTGAGATTTTTCTCCAGAGAGCCGTAGCTGAAGCGCGCGCAACTGAACTGGGCCCACTCTGGGATGCGCCGTGTGCTTCACATCCCTTCATATTGGTGGACTCATTTGAAAGATAAAATATCCCTTGAAAAACGTGCGAATTTCGGATTCTTTAACTTGTCGTGATAAATCACTTAGGTAGTTAAG